CAGTCTCTTGAGGACGTGGGGCTGGAAGTCAATCCAGCGAAGTCCAAAGCCTTGCTAATGGTTCAGGGCACTCAGCAGTCCATCTTTCGCAAGAAGCACACGATGCGCAAAGAGAAGCAGTTGCACATCGTCCTTCCCTCAGGACATAAGATTCCGATTCATCACAAACTAACATATCTAGGGGTGCAGCTCAGCTATGGATCCTACAAAGACCAGACTGTTGACTATAGGATCGCCCAAGCTCAAGGCAAGTTTGAGCTACTTCGACACATCCTGTGCTCCACTAAGGCCCTGGAGGCTTCAAAGAAGTTGGAAATCTGGAGGGTTTATGTGGAATCCTCACTCTTGCATGGGCTTGTGGCCACTGGCATCACCTCATCAGGTCTTCAGAAGCTCCAGAGTAAATACTCGAGGATGCTAAGATCCATCTTTAAGCAACATCAGCACTACAGCCATATTGACACGAAGACTCTGTTCGAGCAATATAAGGTTCAGACTCCTCAAGCGGTTTTGATCAGCCAGATGAAAAACTATCAAGACGCACTAGATGCCTGTCAGAAGCACAACCCGGATCAGAACATACAGTGGTATCTGGGACTTAGAGGTAGGATTGTTGCGCTGCAACAGGAGCTTCAGAGCATGCAATTGGACCTGACCGAGGCAGACCAGAAGGTACCGTGCTCTCTGTGCGATCGGAAATTTTCCAGCGCTAAGGGTCTTCAGCAACATACTCTGGTGAAGCATGGAGGACAGCGTGCGAATCAGCTAGGCCCAAAATTTCAGGTCACTGTGCATAGCTGCAAAGGTCTTCCGCAATGTGCGGCATGCAACAGGCAGTTGCGCACAATGCATCAACTTCGCAGACATGTGGAGTCAGGCATTTGCCCTCAGCTGCACGAGCTGAAAGAAAGAGCCAAATCCTGTACAAGCTCAGAAAGCATAGCTATGATCTATCAGTCTAGCGTGCAGGAACAACTTAAGAAGGATCCTGATCTTCTACTAAAAAAGAGACATGTCACTCAGCATCTATTAACGAACTGCAGTCTCTGTGGGCAATACATTGTTGGCCACAAAGGAGTGAAACAGCACATTCAGAAAGCTCATCCCGCTTTCTGGGCACAATCCTCGGCATCCATTCTTGCCAACATGCGAACACATAAGCGCCTCCTGCACAAAAAAGAAGAATGTAGGTATTGTCGCATTGTGGTAGATGCTCCAGTACGCCATGCAGAGCAATGTGTGGTTCTGCTTCAGACATACGCCATGAGTGCAGCTTGTGCCAAGCCTCTGGAACTGCCAGATCTCTTCAGTGCAGATCCTCCAATTAGCCAGGTGAGAGGAAGGGAGGCTTCCTCCCAGGAGGCTTCCTCCAGCAGCCGAGCTTCTTTGCTGACATACACTGCACGCGTCTCGGGTCGTTCAACCACTGCACCTCCCACAGCTTCCATGCAAGACGCTGCCTGGCGTCTAGCTTATCATAATCCGCATCAACTGTGCTATGCACACACGGTCGTTCATATCCTTATCTCTCTCTTGTCAGACGGACTGTTCCCAGATCCTTCTTTAAATTCCATCCTAACGGAAATAGGTTCCCTGAATGGCAGATCCTCTCATGCGGATGTTCGGAGGTTGCGACATCTTCGTCCGCTGCTAGCAGGATGGCGATTACGACCCAGGCAGGAGGATGCATCTCAATTTCTGTTGCATATCTCTCAGCGTATTCCAGATCTTTCATCAGATAAATGGGAGGCGCGAGTTCATATCTCAGCACCGGAGGAACGCATAAGTGTTGAGGAAAAAGGTGGCTTGATTCTGTATCTACCCGAGCCGCCGGATGGACTCTCGACTCTTCAGCAATCAGTAACACAATGGACGAACAGGGGTAGTGTGTTTGCCTTGCTTCCAGATACAAGACTCATTTGCTTACAAATTCAAAGATTTGATCAGCAAATCAAAACTTCCCGCCCACAAGCGCTGGACACAGTTCTTGAGATGCCAATGTTTCAAGATAACGGAACCTCAACAGAAGCAGTGTCCTTTAGCCTCTATGCATTCATTATCCATATCGGCGAAGACTGGAGCTCTGGACATTACCGAGCGGGGTTTTGGAGAGATGGAGTTGCGTACCTAGCTGATGATAGTGATCCGCCAAGATGCACCATGCTCCTCTCGGATCAAATATGCCGAGGATCGTACTTGGCCTTCTATGTAAGAGATTAGATTCAGCCAGGCAGCCATGAGGCAGGCCTTTGCCCAATTGTCAGCACCCGCCAAGTCCAAGCACGCATGCGGAGGTTTCCTCCGGAGGCATCCTCCGCAGCAGTGTTCTTTCTTAAAGAAGACCTATCTGCCTGCTGTTGCTTAAGGCAACTCGGCATGAATGCTGCCCTGCGCGCAATAAAGCCATGATCTCGTGCTAAAAAGTACAGTCTCTTGCATGAACCTTCACATGCGGAGGTTTCCTCCGGAGGCTTCCTCCCCGGTAGTGTTTCTTACAGTAGACCGATCTGCCTGCTGTAGCGTAAGGCCAAGCTTACCCATTTTTGTCCCTGAACCTGAAGCATCTGTAAGAGCCCTGTGCGCACTTCCTTTGACCCCAGCAAAATTCCCCCCCGAACATGTGAGGCCTCCTCAAGGACGGTGGGTTCAACTTAGAGTCACTTTTTCGGATGCAACCTGCCTTGTCGCAGCGCTGGCCCCGAGAGCCGTGCAAGGTGTCCCAGGTCAGGTGCTTCCCTCTTCGCAAAGTACTCGTACCTATGTGAGACCTCCTCCAGCCTGGTGGGTTAAGTTCGGTCAGTTGGGGTCACATTTTCTCGACCAGGTATGAAATTTTGCCCTGTCGCAGCGCTGGCCCCAGGAGCCGCGCAAGGCGTCCCAGGTCAGGCTTCGCAAACTCAGCTTCCCTGCATCCAATTTGGGCATCCTACTTGGAACGTGCAAGTTGATTCATTGCATCAGATTAGGAGGTTTCCTCCTGAATATCCTTAACCCCACATTTTCTCGACCAGGTGTGAAATTTTGCCCTGTCGCAGCGCTGGCCCCAGGAGCCGCGCAAGGCGTCCCAGGTCAGGCTTCGCAAACTCAGCTTCCCTGCATCCAATCTTGGGCATCCTACTTGGAACGTGCAAGGCCGCCTTGGTGCGCTCTGCCTACGGCCCTCTGCCAGTTGTTTAGCGTTACCTGTGTGAGACGTCACTAGACGGGAACGCTGAGTGTCGGCCTCACCAGAGGTACGGCTCGCTAAACAGCTGGTGCGTGGGTGCTGGACGCAGTGACTCACAGTAGGGTGTCGGGGTAGCCGCGCTTACTTTTCACTCTTTTGCAGTGCTGAGTACTTGATATCGGAGGCTGCCTCCGTGCCAACTTCAATTTCTTCATTGATTCATTGCATCAGATCAGGAGGTTTCCTCCTGCATATCCTTAAGTACTCTGCCAAAGCAGATTCAGTATAGCAGGTAGTGAGACCTGGCAATCTGGAGGAAGCGATCCTCCCGAAGTCCAAAAGGCCGGACTGTGAAATAACAAAGGCGGGTGAGACCTTCTATATCACACTTGCCCGCCTTAATCACACCAAACTCAGCTAGCGCACAGCTATAGCCTGCAACACAACATCGGGGCCAGCCGGCACTGCAGCAGTCGCGGGTGCAGGTGAGCCAGTAGGAAGCGGTCGTAGGGTGCCCAGCCAGCACAGCGCTATCGCAGCCCCGAGGGGCGGATGCATTCCATATACTCGAACATAGCTGTGCACAACAATCTTCAGCAGCCCTGAGGGGCGTGAAGTACGAACTAGCAAAGACTGCTGGAGCTCCCAAGGCGGATACAGAGTAGCCGACGTGCCGAGGATCCAAAGTGATCAGAGGTCCACATGCTGATTCTGGCAGTGAGTGCAATGCAAAAATGTCAAGGTAGCAGTGGTGTTGCAGTTGTGTAGTGGCAGCATAGTGGCGTGGTTGGGGAAGAGCAACAGCATGAAGGACTTGGTGACGAAGCCGGTTCCGATGCCACAAGCAGTGAAGGTGAAGAAGAAGAAGAAGAAGAAGAAGAAGAAGAAGAAGAAGAAGAAGAAGAAGAAGAAGAAGAAGAAGAAGAAGAGCAAAGCCACCTTCAGAGACGAGGAGGAAGAGGCCACATGAGTACAGCAGAGATTTTGGAAGATCAAGAACAGCCAGATTAAGAAGAATCAAAGAAAAGATCCCTCTCAGTCGGAGATGACACTATGCTTTCCGACATGGCAGAAGCTATAGAGAGAAGAGAAGAGCAAGAAACAAAGATACAAGGAAGGGTGGGCCGCTAGGCCACTCTTCTTTGTTTTCCCCTGTTACTCTACCCATTCAAAAGAATTGGAAGAAGGTCAAAGGTTTGAAAGCAGGAAGGGAATGACAAGGGAGAAGGAGGCTCTCCTGTTCGTTTTGCTGCCCTCTACCTTTCTCATTCATTCGTTCATATTCTTTTCACACATGCGCCGATAGAACATGTCTCACTCCGGAGATGACTTTGCGGGATACTACGACGTGAATGTTTAGACAGCCACCAAGTTTGTAGGTTGCAAGATTGGCCTGCAGTCGCAAATGCACGAACACAGCACAACAAACCCCTTCCCCACATACTACGTTAAGGTCCTTGCCACTCCTTGCCACATATATATATGTATATATGTTCCCTTTTTGTTTTCTCTTTGTTTGGGCTTTCGGTGGCCGATGCTTTTTAGCCGCACTTCGCCGCGACTATCTTTCCGAGTCTGTTCTAAACCGTTTATCTTTTCCTGTTTTTATTTGCAGATGGTATTCTCGAGAAAGAAATAGACAAGACTTGGACTTTCCCTCACCCACTTCGAGCTCACTTATTATCACACCTATCGGCCCTATCTTCAAAAGGCCGTACTGCGGCACGGCTCTTTGTAAAGACCGTCATACAGGAACCTGCGCAAAAACGGCGGTGGCAATTGGCTCGAGCCTTGAAGTGCTGTACTTGCACATAGCTGGAGCTTCGTAGGTGGGATGGCGAAGACCAAAACTCCCCAAGGTCATCCAGTTCAAAACCATTCACAGCAGGCTCTCCAGAGGCAGCCTCTCCAGAATCAGCAGCTGGACCGCTTTCAAAAGTCGATGAGACTCAAGGCGGCAAGCGACCAACTCAGGAATAATGAGCTGTGGGAGTGGAGGGATGCCTATCTCGTTCAGTTCCTCGCGGCTCTGGAGGTTGTGTCGTTCCTTCTTGTGGTGCAGGTCGGGCTCTTCACACAGGGCTTGTTCATACTCGTTCCCGTTTTGCTTCTGGTGGCTTTGGGCAAGTGCTTGCACAATGCCAACGTGGACTACCAAACGCTGCTGAGGAACCCGATATACCTCATGTTCCCAAAGAAGTACTCGGCGCTAGGGCTCTACGACAACCAGGAGACCGTGAGATAGGCTTAGGTTCTAAGCTTTCAACACTAGTTGCAGGACCGCGAACCCTCAACCTGAAACCTTATGCCTTGAGCCATCAACCCAAAGCCCTGAACAGAAACCCGTCTGGGGCTTCTACGGCCTCACCATTCTGGTGCGCCTCTCCTGTGCAGTCGCCGTGGTTGCTTCCTGGGCCGATCAGACGGGCCACTTCAAGTGCGCTGGCTCCCACACGGTGCTCGGGCCAGAGAAGCGCGCATGAACAAACGAGGGAAGGGCATTTCAACCCGCAAGCCCTCAGCCCTAGAATCCGACACACCGAAACCCCAAACATCCATGGGGATGTCTCTACTCATTGCATTTATTGGTGTGTTTTTTGCTTTTCTTTGTTGTTTTTTTTTTTGGGGGGGGGGGTGGGAAGGGGGCTTGTGTGCCTGCCTGCCTGCGTCTTTGTCTGTTTATCTGTCTGTCTGTCTGTCTGTCCGTCTGTCTGTCTGTCTGTCAGTGTGCTTGTTTGTATGTGTGCGTGTCTGTGTGAACAGTCGCTGAACACGTCCGATAGCTCGTACTTCGGGATTGCGCTGCCCAAAGACCTTCCAGACTTAATGTGATGCGGACCACCGCATGATTGACTGTTCGCAACATGTGAGAGTTGGCTTGCAAGCACACAACTGCACACGAGAGCAGATTAAAGTGGACCCCATTCTGTTCGGGACGACATTAATATCAGGAAGCTGGAGAAGACATGCTCGGATTTTGGCTTCCGTGAGCAAAACCTGCAGAATAAGGAAGGAAAGGGATTGGAAGATTCAGAAAGACCAGGCAGAGTGAGCAGAGAACAAGGTAGGTGTTTGTGTGTGTGTGTGTGTGTGTGTGAGACATCGCATTGCCCGCGATTCTAAGCGCAACCAGGTATTGAATGCGGAGGCACACGGAGCGAGAATTGGCACATGCAATATACGAAGCCTGCCATGTCGTGCATCACGTTCGCTCTTTGTTGACCCCCCCCAGGTGCTGAGTTACGGCTCTGACAGCTGTTCAGAGGTTCCTGGCCAGGGTTTTGTCCTTTTCGTAGGCTAGGTCAGAGGTTTTTGTAAACGATTCCGAATCTGGAACAAGAACTAAAGGGTTAGAACGATGCCCAGGTTCCTGGCTTTCTGCAGAAAGCTTGTTCCCAGCAGTTCTTTGAGCCCTCCGCTTACCAGCGTTGCCTGGAGTCGAGGCCTTGGAGTAAGGAAAACTACTGCAACTGGCAAGCGGCGATCTGTTTTCCCACGGACGGCACGTTCTTCAGCGTGTGTTCGAAAGTTGCCTTGATGTTGCTGTCGCTGGCTCCGAGCTTATGTTTCTCAGCTGTTCCGGCAGGTAACCTTTAGGTTTTTGGGGCACTGAAATAGTCAAAACATGTCAACACTAAAAGGCTCTTTTTCATGATGTGGCGGCACTAAGGCTTCACCTTGTTTCTGGTGATCAGCCTCTTCCTGATGTTTTTGTTCCAGAGTGGGCTACAGAAGTCATGCGGACTTCAGCTGAAGGCTGGAATGCTCGGCAGCAAGCCAGAAGCGAAGGACTTGAGACGCAACGGGATCACAGCTGGACAAGTTGTTTACAATTTGGTCAGAACCATTTCAGATTTTCAGGAACACACATGCTTAGCCTTTGTCTCATCAGTGACCCAGGCAAGGTGGGAAATCAAGAGACCGTGCTCAAGCAGCAGTTCGAGGCAAACAGCGGCAAATTGGATGACAAGTCGCTTGTGCCCTTCTCAATGATGTTCCCACTCAGCGCCTTGGAAGCCCAACAGCCTGGTTTCTACGCTGCTTCGCTGGTATCCCCCAGAGGGGTATGGGGGGCCGCCGTAAAATTCTCAACCAAGGTCTGCTCCTCGTCTTCTTCGATGTCGGCAGCGATGTGAACTTGCTCGTGACATTTCTCAGCGGTCAGCACTACGGATTCGCGGCGGCGCAGCTGGCGATTCTGTGCGTCAGTGTGAAGCTCCAGGTGGACGAAGCAGGAGATCTCCAGTCTCTCTGGACTGAAGTGTCACGCTCATGGGGGGCCAAAGTCGAGACCGACAAGCTTTTAAAGATTCTCAAGTCGGAACGTTTGTTCGAAGCTCCGGCATCCTTCCTGCTGGCCTTTTACTCCTGCTTCTTCACGAACGCAGAAACTTGGGCCATGCTGAGTTGCTGCGTCAGCATTCTCACCAGCGTCTACACCATGGCGACGGCGGTGTTCAAGGACATTCACCTCGGAGTTGACTTAGAGGATTAGGACTAGAGGCGAAGGCACCTTGTGACTTCTTGCGACCACAGCTGCATGTGGGCCGGGCCTAAGATGCTGGTTACACAACCCTTATAGGGTGCCCGCATGCAGCTCAAAGGCTTACAGCAAAATGCTGTTCTTCTTCGGCGCTGGGCCAGGGGGCAACATTTCTGTTTCGGAACATCTAGAGCAGGTCTGCTGCTATCAGCAGCCCTACATTTGTGTGTGTGTTGTTGTTGCGCCCCCTGCTCCGTGCTGTCTGGCTTCCGTTGAAGGGGCCTGGTGCTTGAAACAACCCAAGGCCCTCTTACAGTGCGAATTTTGACTCGGCTGCGGACGCTGCATGCGGCCTGTAGGGCCTGGAACCGTGGTAATCCTTGTAAGCGCCTGAGTTAGAGTACATTTTGTGAGGGTTATGTGTTTGTAGTTGTAGTATCAGTATGAAGTTAGAAAACGCGACTTTCAGTTCCTCAGAGTTCTGCGTTGCTGAAAGATCAGCGTTGATAGCCCGCGTGGAGCGATGGCAGCATAATTCGTAGCCGTTCGGAGATCGAACATCCCGGAACACCCGCTTTGCAGGTTCATGGGACGCAACCAACGACCACTGGTAAGTAACTAGGGCCCTTTATAAGTCTGTGAATTTGCGCTTCTTCAAGGGCAGGGTTGTGATGTGCTATGATCTTTCATAAGCTAGGGTTGTCAAACGATTGCAACTACTGCGTCCCAGGAATCTCCAAGCAGGAATCTCCAAGTAAGAGTAGGGCACTTCTGCCTTCATCCATCAAAGATCTGGCATTTTTGGGCACCGTGCTTCATGGCTGTTGTGAAAGTCTCGCGCTGTGTGGGTGCACGGAAGAATAGGACCCAACCCAAAACGAACCCAACCCAAAACCCAGAATCCCAAGCTTTTTCCCCTCAACAGAAGTTACGTGGTTGCAGGGTTCGACCAAACAGCCCAGAACTAAGAGATAGCCACATATAATCCTCAAAAAAAAACACGCAAGGCAGATGGTCCAGGCTCTGGGGAGCTCCCAAGGCCTGGGCAGCCAACACGAACTTTTGACAACAGTTCCAAGACTACCAAAAGACAGCAGAAAAAAACCAGCAAACCCGAGAAGCGAACGTGTTAAGCAACTCCACAGTTCGACGGTTGCCATGTGCACCAGCTCCAGGTCAGGCGATGCTCCCAGATCCCCCAGAAGTCCTTTGAGGGGAGCACTGCTAGTACATTCTGTCGGCTGTTGCGAGTGACGGACATTACGGCTTCAATGTGACTTCGTTGAGTTGCTGCAGCTCTTAGGGGTGTGCGTTTTGGGCACAAGTGAGCCGTGAGGAATTTAGTCAAAGAGTTCAGCAGCCCCTGTTAAGGCGGCACTTGCGCAGACCCCTCATGCCCCAACATGATTGTAGTGCTCGAGACGGTCAGCAGCAGTCGCATGAACCATCGAGTGCAGAAACGAGGCTGTTATTGTAGGATTTCATGCCATCTTGTCCCCACAAAGTTTTGCAACCGTCCATTCCCATCTTTGGAGCGCCGTGCCATGGTGCGGTCCACGCTTGGCAGGCAGCTGGTCGCTCAAGACTCAGAACAGAGAATTGAGTTTACACGGTTGGGGGATGGATGTTTACCGTGCAGAAATGTTTCGTTTGTTTTTCACGGAGCGGCTGAACTTTCCATTTTTGGCTTCAGTTTGCTCGGAGACTTGAGAGGCCCTTCGAGGGTTCCGGTGTCGGTGTTTGGAGGCCACAGAATGTGAAGGCAGCTTCGGTTTACGCCTCAAAACTTGCGATTGAAGACAGGGCCTTGCGATGTTTGCTGGTATTTTGTGTGAAGCTTGATGCTTATGCAACTTGTTGTGCTTGTGCTTCTTAAGATTGTAAAAGCTGCCACTGACACAGACAAAGGCAGCAGAACATTGAAGCTGATTTGTTATGGCTGCCCGCTTGTGTTTTTTTGGCTTTCTGCTTGGTCGCTTGCAGCGCGAAAAGTTTCCTTCTTCGAGGTCTAGAGCTGCATGGCCAAATAAGCTTTAACTGCCACCTTGATTGTGGAAAGGAATTTTCGGGAAGGTTGAAGAGTCATCACAGTGCTGTCAGAGTGGCTGGACATCTGGCAGGGGAACATATTGATTGCCCCTTATCTCTCGAGGTTGTGGCTGCGTGGCTGCTCTGGGCGACGTTGCTTCCACCGCGAACATCGTTTGCCGTCACTCGGGGGGCTTGCGCCTGGGCTGTGTCTGTCATGATGTGCCATGAAGGTGACTGTTGAAAGGCTGCCCAGGTCTGTTGCATGGTCTCCCTACCATGTCGCTGGAGCCGGGGCTACAATTCCGAAACACGCGACGCAACCTGTTGGCCTGCACCAACTTGAGGCGAGTCTTCGTTGACACGTCGTTGCTCGGTGCAAGTTGGGGTGCCTTTTCTTGAGTGCGTAAACTTGCGTTTCCTACCGAAAGTTGGGGACTGAAGGCCAGTTGCTCCGGACATCAGGTTGACGGGGTTGGGGCGGTTGGGATTCCGATGTGTGTGGTTAAGGAGAACCCGGGTCAACACGTCAACCCTAGCGCTTTCACTCACCCGAGCTACAGTACAAGTTTCCAAGAGATAGGTAGGACGTGTATAGGTTGCAGCGATGTCCTGCTGTCCAGGTCAATACCTGACCTGCGGCTCCTGGCCTGCTCTACTGGCGCTGGCACCCAAGCCTGTCAATGCGGAAAGCCAGGCTTCGACCAAATGCGAGGATCAGATTGAGCTATACATGTGGTAACTGTAGCTATACCTCGTGAAACTATCTTATGTTAGAGGCTTGATAGCATTTGTAAGTGCTCATGAGCCTTCCAGTCGCCCTGAGCCGTACACCCTCAAATGCCTCTTGTAGAGTCTTTGTGTTCAGTGGCCATCCAGAAACATTTTGAATCCTTCACCTAGCCTTTCCTCCCCTTGGATGGTGTGTACCCTAAACCATTTCAACTTCAACTGCACTGCGAGTCTGCACGTGCGTCACACCTGCGTGCAGCAAGACAGGCATGAGAAGTGGGGTGACTGCATGGATTTCTCAGTGCCTGGATGCGATGGCCCCGCCCTGACATGCTTGCAGGCAGACCTGTCATTGCCCGTGACGAAAGAGAAGATCCCCGAGGTCAGACTCGGGAGTTATCGTGATGTTGCTACGCGCTACGCGCACAGCTCGACGCCCTTTTTGAAAGGAGCTGAGCAGAACATGTGTTCCGCGGGCAGTTCTTGACTTGTGATACTTGCAATGGCCGCTTCGTAGCCAGCCGTCACTCGTTCCAAGAGCCACGGCTTGGGTCTCTGGGACACAGCTGTGTCCTCATTCCTCGATGCATACATTGAGAGCTCGAAGAGCATGTATGGCAAGATCTCTTCCCTATCCCCTGCAGGTGAAGAAGGCTTTGTTACAGCTGGCCGACACTTGGCCTGATTGGCCAACATGCAACTCGGGGATGGGGGGAGGAGATGTGCTCACATGACGTTCTGAACAACAGCAAGTAGCGCTTCTACCATGAGCTTGCATTCTACATAGTACATAGCCCTGCAAGTGCGTCTCCGTACCCGGAGCCAGGAGACAGTAAGTCTTTTGTAGAACCCTTAGCAACGTCTGTGCTCCATCGCAGAAAACCGACAAGCTTGCAAAGCCTGATGACCCCCAGAGATGCCTTCTGATGCCCCCTGAGATCCCTCTGAGATCCCTGAACCCAGAACCGCGAAAACCCTCAGTGCAAAGGAGGCGACCCAGCGTGGAACGAAAGCCTCGCCGGAAGAGAAGCAGCTGCGGCCCTGGAAGGGGGCTGTTGAGTTGGGGGAGTTGCATTCGAGCTTCGCCCGCGAGAGCCTAAATGTTCAACAGTTCGGCGCTGCGGAGTTTCGGGTCGTTTTCATTCGTAAGGCGAGTCCTCGTCCCTCAATCCCGCTGAGCTGGGAGTGTTGGCGGAGGGCTTGGTGTTGTCAAGATCCGATAAGGTGTCAGGCTTAGGATGTCGAAGTGGGATCAGAAGCTGACCGGATCAGGTAGGTTGCAGACGCTTCACATCTCCGGAGCACGTCGGCATGCCAAACGAAATCACATGAAATCACCTCCAGCACACAGTCAGGTCAATGGACCGCCTCGCCTCGGGCTTGGCTTCGCAGCCTCTGCCGCCCACTGTCTCAGCAGGCATGCTTTCAGGCGGGAAGCAGCTGGCGCTTTGGTGCTCAAGGATGCTCAAGGTTTTTGGGTTCTGAGGCTGCTCTTGCGAGGAGCATTTGTGGAGCTCTGAGTTAGGGCTTTGGTTATGCCGGGACAAAGGTCGTTTCTTTGAGCTGTTCGGTATTCCAGGCCCAGAATTTCAGGCTTTCAGTGACAAGCAGCGTGTGTGCCCTCTCCAACCCTTGCAAGCTAGTGGGGGGGGGGGTGCTAGCTCTGGAGGCGCATGCCTTAAGGGCCGAAGGCAACGTTCAACATCGGCGAAGAGGGCTGACAGGATCAAAGGGATGCATTTTTCTGGAAGCTGCAGGTATCAGGGGCGGAGGCGTTTGAATCAGAGTCCAGAATCAGCTCAGCCAGTCGGATCACAGAAAAACACGAAACAGATCAGGGACCCCAGACCCTTTTCAGAAGTGCTGTTGGACGAATCGGATCGTACGACCCGCCAATCGGCTCAGGCGACATGCCCACAAAGCTGCGGCCTCTACAGGATATCCAGTTTTTCTGAGCTGATACGTCGTCCAACCGAATTTTTCTAGCCCGTGCTAACAGATGCCACATCAGAAGACCTTTGCGACCCGGCCATGCCCCTGAAACCACCCGGGGGCGCAGCTTCAGCTCCCCTCGGAATCGCAGGCACATGGAACCTGATCTACACCACAGAAAAGGAGGTGCTCTCCTTGATTGGTGACCCAGGCAAGATGATAGGGGATTTGAGGTTTGGGGTTCCGGCATCTTCTCTGGCCAAGCGGAGTGGAGGCTCGAGGGATTCAAGTCTCAAAAAGGTCTACGCCTTGCCTTGGCC